AATGGCAGCCAGTATTATGTTTTAACATTTCTCTGTTGCTCTCCAGAAACCCAAATTATGGAAATAAGTTTAATCCCATGTTATCTCAGAATGATAAGGTGTATTCATTTCTAAAACAAATCTACACTTTTGAACACCTCACTGTGGATATTTAAGGTGGCTGTAGTTGTGTGGGTTTTTTTTTTTTTTAATGTTCCATTTTATTTGTTCAGAGTCCTTAAAAACAGGTTTCTTTCTAAACTTCCATTACTGTGGAAGTGAAGATTTGCTGGGTGGCCATAGACAGGAAAGACAGCAGGTCCTGCAGTCCTTCATCTTCATATGAATTACACCAAACTCATTCAGCACAATTCATATTGGACAGTATTAAAGAGAAAATGACCAAGTAGCCTTTCGCTGGTTAGTTCTTGGACCTCTGAAGTATTGCCGTTCTCTAGAGCTCAGTGATGGTTGTTCTCAGACACTTTCCTTTTTTAGGAATTAAAGAAGAGGACATTCCAGGCAGCCAGCAATCTGCTTCAGGCAGATTTGTTTCAGACCAACATGTAAAGAGTGGTGGTCCCATGGCTTCTCCTGGTATTAATGTCATGTATAAGATAATATACATTTATAACATAAGCTGTAGGTGAGGGAGTGCCACCCCCCCCAAATATGCAATTCAGTACATTTTGTTTCCAAGAAGCAAAAAAATGAAATGACCCAATGTCGGACTACTGCAGAGATGCTCAGCTACCTCAGCTTTTTTGTATTTCAGTTACCAACAGTGTTTACGGGAGGTTGTAATCTGCTCTGCTGCCGTTTACATGCTGAAGCTTAAGGTACTTGTCATTCCGTGTGCCGGCCGCAGCTGAGAATCAGGTTCTGGCTATCGGCTACTACAGTAGTTCCTTCCCACTTTTTTCTTTGCAAGGTGACATCCGAGCCTGGTCATTATAGCCAAGCCTCCCCAGGCCAACCCCGCTCACTGGTTCTTTGGTTCCTAAGAGGCATTGAGTGATGTTCTTCTAAACCTGACTCCTGTAGAAATGCTGTATTTTTAGGTGGGAAAGTGCGATTAAAATGAAAACATTTTAAACTAGTACTTCATTTTAGAAACTTGATTGGGGGGACTTTCTCATTTTTCTGTTAATATTTATTGCCATTATATCTGTTTAGGATATTTTGCTGTCAGTCCATTAGCATTTTGTATTATGATGGGGATTGTTACAAAACTTTCAGATTTGATGAAATAAAATGTAGCAGATTTTTTGTAGCAAGTTTCTGGTAAAACAATTTTTTGCAAGTCTCAGGTTCTTGCAGCATTTTTTAAAATATTGTAGTTCAACTATTCTTTAGTTCAAGTAGCAGCAGCACTTGTGAGAAGAAAAACTGCATACATTTTTAACAGGTTGTTAAATTTGTACAAGTTTAAATCCTTTAAAAATAGTTGTCAAATAATTTTGGAAAAGAGTATCTTAAATTCAAGTCTGGCATTAAAAATGCTTCCAGTTGGTCAGTTGAGGGGGAAAAAAAATCTTTGTAGTTTTGAATGTTGATAAAAAAGTGAGGAACTGCCTTTAATTGTTATAGATTTTTCAGAAGAATTAGCTTCTATAAATGTGTTAGTGGGCAACATGAATAAAATTATATATTCATCCTTTTGGCTCCAAAACCACACTAAACATGTATTGCTTTTCTTTACTAATAGCTTAGCAATTGTAGAGTTAAACCTGTTATTCTATTCACATTGTCAGGTCGCCTACTCTTTGTGTTTTTGTTCTTATTTTGCCATGTAGAATTGGCAATAAATTCAATTCCTGTTTCTTGTTAGGAATTACCAATGAACTCCTGTGCAAGGCCACATCCTAGGCCAGATGGAGGTTAAATTTCTATGGGGATAATGATGAAACTGCTCTAAGATAACCATGGCTGTGGAGTTAATTGTGTTTGCAAGCTTGAATTTCACCTGTGATTAATTTATGTTTTGTGTTTTCAGTCTTATTATTTGAGTTTTCTCATATGCCAATGTATTTATTATAGGATAATTGGGTGATTGGTTTTGTTTCATTTTTGTTTTGCTAACATTTTACGTTCTCATGTTTTCTTTACTTTTTTTTCTTTTAGTTAAGTTGCAGGTCATCTTTGGATTTGTGTAGCTAGTCATAATTCTCTCCCTTTTATGTAAATCAGCATTAAGCTTGAATTTGAGCTTGTACCTGCTTTTTTTCTGTGTTGTACATTGGTTTACTTCAGCAGTGGGGATGTCTTTTGGTTTGATTCATGTGTGTCTGTTTTTTGATAAAATAAGATTTACTTCTTCAGCTATAATAAATCTTGGATTCTATAAGTTGTATTCAGAGAATTGTGTTATGCTTTTTTGCATCTTGACTTAATTTGCATTAGTTAAGTAAATTATTTAATTTTTTAAAATTCTGGATATTTTGAACATATTACTGTAATTTGTAATATAACTGCTGTGAAATACTTGAATAAAGAGGACAAGTAAAAATCCTGAGTCTCTTGATAGTTTTGATAATAGTTGTATTTTAATATTAGGTGTACACGTATGTGATGGATTGGTACGTTGGCATTTGTTCAGGCAAAAGAAAACCCCCTCTTTAGTGGGGAGCCATAGAGCCAACTGTAGGTGTGTGCACAAGGTCGGATTTAGATGTGTCATTCTTTCAGATCCCCTCCTCAAACTAGCTTTGGGAGAAGGTCACTACTATTGAGGCACATACCTCCTAAGCACCTTTTAGTTTGTGTAATTAATGTTGCTCTTGTTTTAGATTCCGATTTTTCTCCATTAGGAATGGTCTTCATGCAGATAAACCTCTGCTGAATAAAAGTAGAGCCCCTTCGTGTACAGGCAGCCTTGCTCTGTGAAATTTCACTTTCTGCTCTATAATTCTGCTGCCTCTTCCCTTGAGGGAGCATCCTGAGCCACAGGACTCAGTGGGAGTCAGTGTATGCTGAACTAGTTGCTTGGAAGTAGAGGAGGAATTAATCCCTTCCTTTTAGGAGGGTTTATAGAGTTCAGATAAGGAGGGTTTTACTGTAGATTATTTGGTTATGTAAATGCAACATTCTGAGTTTATTTTTCTAGTAGCAGGGAGCTGAACCAATAAGCTATCAACTTGCAGGGATAAAGTCAGGGCACGAGAGCAGTGAGGGGATCAAGTTCTCATTGGTCCAGGGCTTCAATGGCCCATGCGCCCCCCCTCCCCAAAGCAGTGATGGTTGTTTAGCTTGCTTCTGGTTAGCAAAATAGGGAAATACAATTATTTAATGGCACGTCCTGTAGTGCTTTCTATCTTGAATGGCCCTATTGAAGCTGCTAGCAACCAAGAAACCAGGAATTTCGCTTTGTTGGCTGCTAACAGCCACAATTTTCCTCTTCTTTTACAAGAGGAATGACAACTCTAATGTCTTATTTCCTCATCTTGTAAATAAGCTCAGAGTAGCCTCCATTTGCTGCTAATAATGAAAAAGTTGCTGGGAAAAGGTTTGGCCCAATGGTTCCATGCAAAGAAGGGTGTGTGTGTGTGTGTGTGTGTGTGTGAGAGAGAGAGAGAATTCAATATGCCTGTACAAAGTTTATTCCACCCAGGGTATTTTGGATAACCCTTTTTATCAAGAATGCAGAAAAAAATCAGTTAGATCACTATCTAATCTTTGCTATTAAGCCTCTCTTGTTCAAGCAGTCCATGTGGCAATGATGTCTCCATGGGTGAGAAGCCTATATTTTTTTCTGTTTGGGGGCATGTGGTGTTTAGGGATTAAAGTACAAAATAAATACATCAAACTTTATGGAGGTTTAAAGCAATTATTTTGTACTTAAAATGCAAAACAAAAAACACTGCGGAAATTTGATAATGCATATTCTTCAATAAGATGTAGTTTGCCCCTGTCAGTTTTGTAGAGGAAATCTGGGACAATTTGCACCAACAAGTGAAACCAGAAGACAAAGTAGCATACCAGCCTGTGGCCCCTCCTCTGTGGGGTGCCCCAGGATTCGGTACTCTCTGTGCTCCTTTTAAACATCTACATGAAACCACTGGGTGAGATCATCTGCCACCATGGGATGAGGTACCATCAATATGCAGATGATACCCAGTTATACCTCTCCATCCCGGGTGAGGTGAGTGATGCCATGACCACCCTTTTGTGATGCATAGAGGCTGTGAGGGCCTGGATGGGGTGCAACAGGCTTCAGGTGAACCCTGGTAAGACAGAGTGGCTATGGATTGGAAACCCCTCTGTATCCGAGGATTTACCATCGTTGGTTTTGGATGAGGTTGTACTGCCCTGGACAGATCCAGTATGTAACCTGGGGGTCCTCCTGGACTTATGATTCCTGCTCAAGGAGCAGGTGGCAGTTGTGGCCAGAAAGTCCTTTGCCCACCTTTGTGTGGTTCGCCAGTTATACCCTTTCCTGGATCAGAAGGCTCTCCGGTAAGTCATTCACGCCCTGGTCATCTCTCAGCTAGACTGATGCAATGCGCTCTACATGGAGCTACCTTTGAAGAGTATTCAGAAGCTACAACTGGTTCAAAATGCAGCCATGTGGACAGTCTTGGGCGTCCCAAGAACAGCACATATAACACCTTTACTGTGCGAGCTGCATTGGGTCCCAGTCTGCTTCCGGGTCCAATTCAAAGTGTTGGTTATTACCTTTAAAGCTCTACATGGCATGGGTCCAGGTTACCTGAGGGACCGTCTCCTATCACGTCAACCTGTCCCACCTGGTCAGGCAGAAAGGGCATGTTGTGGACCCCGTCAGCAAGAGAATGTTGGCTGGCGGGGCCAAGGAGGACAGCCTTCTTTGGCTTTGCCCCCACCCTTTGGAATATTCTCCCCCAGAGATGTGGCAGGCCCCACTACCCTCCTG